AGGTATGTAAGCATTTAAAAATCCTTAGACTTCAAGTATGATGAAATATTGATTTACGCTGCAGTTACTCACACTCAACCTCCACTCAGCTTTCTTAGAAGTGTCGCTGACGCATGATGTTTGCCTAATATAAAAACAAAACATGTCGAGAACTTCTCTTATTTCTATAGTAGGTGAATATATAGAGAGAAAGAGGAGATCTTCCCACCTCAGAACTGAACTTTCTTTGTTTTGGAAACAAAATGCTGGCAGGCTTATCTTATCCGCTCTCAGGTCAGAATCTTCTGCCTCACAGTGGCATCACAGGCTTGAAGCAGACTTTTTATTTTTTGCAGCGTTGTGCACAAGGACAATAAAACCCAATAACTGAGCAGCCCTGTGTGAAGGTGGTGATAAATCCCCTCTGCCGCCAGACCACCAGTGAATGTTGCCAAGATATTATTTAATTACACAGAACTGACACGTTATTGTGGATAAATTTCACCAGCTGCAATTTTGGAGGGTTTGTTGTAATTTTTTTAAGTGTATCCATCCATTTGGGGTGGTAATATCCTCCGAGGTCAACGGGGGAGAGACGGTGTGTATATACCGGATGGCCAATCCATTGCAGTGGAATAGACATAAATATGACGAATAATGCTGCACGCACAAACTCCCATCCTAAGGGGAATTTAGAGGGGCCAATTTACCTGAGATACCTGTTGCTGGATGGTGAGAGGAAGCCAGAACACACTATTATACGGAGAGAAGATACAAAGTACACCTGGAAATCCGGGACAGATAGTACGGCTACCAGCTGTACTGCCGTGCAGTTCTGGATGATTTCTATGCAAAGTTTGCTTTTGAGTTAAACATGATCAGACTACAATGCAAATTTCATTATATTTTGTATTTTCCCCTGACATGCAGTTTCATTTAGGTGACAAATTTCACGCTTAATGCACTTCGTATATAAAGTAAAACAAATGTGCGTGTGATGGATCACTGCTTTTGTTACAGCAACGCTTCTTGGCAACAAATTCGAAAGCTTATTTATTCCCTTTAAAAGAAATAAAGTAAATATTTATTTACATTGGTACATTAGCTTGTGCCAATGTAAATCCTCCACTCTCCTCTCGGGCCAGAACTTTTAGCTCAGCTCAAAGAAGCCAAGTTAAAATTTTTTGACCCAATTTTGGGTTAAAAATATCCAACCTCTTTTCCCAATAACATTTGGGTTAAAGCTGCAATACGTAACTTTTATAAAATGTTATTTAGATTTTTGTTAAAATGGTCACTGTTGTAATATCAGACAGATAATCTGTGAAAGGATTAAGCTCCTCCCTGAGCTGCTGTTGCCCCGCAGTTCGCTCTCGGTCAAAAACAGCCGATCAGAGCCAGGAGGAGTGTCTTAGCGCTGCCACTCAAGCTCGTGTACATGCTGATAAATTCGCCAATGCTGGCGAAGCAACTTACCGTTTCAGGAAAAACATTTACCTAACATCATGACGCTGGCTATAGGGAAGTAGCTTTAGCATAGCAGAGAGCAAAGTGGAAAGGGTTTTGAGCAGTGTGTATACAAGCCTGATTGACAGCGCTAAGACCCGCCTCTTGGCTCTGATTAGTTGTTTCTACTTAGCACTGGCAGCACTCAAGATAATCTGTTTTATGTTATACTGTCGCAACATTGTCATAGTTTTAGCAAATTTATTTAAAAAAATACTTTCTATAAAAAAATATTAAAAATATTTTTTTGTTGTGTTTTTTCTTTAAATAACCCAGCAGTTATTTAGCTATAAATAACTGCTGGGTTATTTCTTTTAAAGAAATGAATGTGTGCATTCATTTTGTCGTCTTAAGCCACAAAGCATTACTCATCTGTTAAATATAAATTAATTATGCTGTATATTCTTTCAATATTTTCCACATTTTCCTGTTAAGTCGCCTTTGATTCAGTGCTGCTGCGTCTGACCTGCAACATTTCCAGACGTTGCTTCCCCAGCGCTTCACCGGTCAGGCAGGAGAAATGGGTTTACGGCTCAGCAGGAAGCGCCTGTGCACCTTTCTTATCGTAGTGCAGAACATGTCATCTTTTTCCGCTCTTTGCCTGACGTGTATGTTGTGTGCATAAACACAAAAAACTCTAAATCAGGCTGAGCGATTTATTTTGCTGAGCTAATAAACACATAAGAGGAAAGCAGAGTTTCAGCTAGCCTTTAGCCTCAGGGAAGGAAAAAGTGATGCTTCTTGTTGATCTTCTGGTTGCGGTGACTCCATGTTGGCACTAATTAACCCTCTGTAAATTACAATAGTCTCAATTAAGTCGTTTTTACTGTAGATACCGTTACTAAGTGACACCTTTGACTGCTTTGTCTACTAATGATAAATGCACTCAGTTTGTTTTGCTTTCAATGCCGCGTTTCCTTGTCATTATTTAGAACACAAACTGGGAACAAACTGATTAGGACGTTCACTTCATTAAACCTAAACTGGATAAGTTGATTAGATTACCTGCTAAATTAGCCGGCGCTGCTTAAAGACCCCCGCTCCACGTTTCTGCAGAGTAATCAAAGAGGGAGAGAGAATTATAAAACTTGATTACAGCTTTTTTTTTAAAATAAAAAAATGCATCCCTCCTGCAGCTGATTACCTCTTTGTTCTTTTTTTTTCTTTCGCACCACAAGTGGTTTCATCAGCACCGCAGTCCGAAAAAGTCGCGGCGAATTGGAATTACGCGACCGCTGCCCTCCGGACGCCAAAGTTGTTTCCTCCCCCTGCTCAGTTTCAGACGCTTTGTATTAGACCAAACGTCCTGCCGGCCCCGGAGGTGCACTCCATCCTAATGGTTAACAGGTTCCTCCCTCTCTGAGTGTGTGTGTTTAAATGACTCTGTTGCAAAATCAGCTAAGTTATTATCGTTTATTTGCATGTATACATGCACAAATTAAGGTTTTTATAATTTTTCTGTTGCTGCTCTGCACGTGTCTGACTGGGATTCCAACAAATAGGTCCCGGTGGTGAAGTGAGGCAACGGCAGCTCAGTAGTCTTGTCTTTTCTTTTCTTTTATTAGTTTTAATCATTCATGCAGAAGCCTGACAGGCGAAAAGAAGACGGCGCAAAACAAATCTTCCCAGTGTTGAAACCACAATCAGCTCGGGGTCAAAACACCAGTGTGGTTGTTTCCGTTTTGTAAAGCTCTTTCTCTTTCTGACGTTCTGTCGACGTCTGCTTATTAATTGCAACACATTAGCTGAAGGATCCGCTCTTTATTCTTCAAATCTTTGGAAAAGCATCAATACTCCTTGTTTTCATTTCATTTGTTTTTGTGTCGGCGTGTTTTATCGGGATTCTGTGTGACGGACCAACACATTCCACGGATTGCCACTCGTCTTTCCATCTCTTATGCGCGGTTGTGGGAGGAAAATGAAAAGTCAGGATTTCTTTCAGGAATATTCCCAGAAAACCTTGCAGAAGGGGGAAAAGAGTTCACAGAGGTTTAGAGAATATGAACTCTGGGACATTTTAATAACTATTTGAATTAGGGATGCACAATGTTATTGGCATGGTACCGTACCGGACGGTATCGCTGTAAAATTTAATATCGAACATCAGCCATTCTGTCAAAATGTTTTTATGTGACAAACCAGTGACAATGATGTCTGCAGCATAGCACAACTCAAATTTGCACTGTTTGAGTATCATCATTGTTCTAGACAGAGTAAATTTCATGAATAAATGTGACATTAAACATAATGTAAGTTGAAAGTGTTGCATCATTTTCAGTCTCCTTTTTAGCATTTCTCATTTGGTAGCAGGATAAACTGACAGAGATGATGCAGTATTTTAATTCCACAGTAGAGAAAGCCACATAGTTTCAGTAAGTAAGTATAAGAAAAAAAATATCGGTATTGGTATCGGTTATCGGCCAAATAAGTTTTAGTATATCTGCATATTGGATATCGACCAAAAATCCAATATGGTGCCTCTCTAATTTGTATTTTTTCTTCCACTTCACTATGATGCTAATATTTATGCTTATAGCAGAAAAATCCAAGGCTTACAAGCACTTTTGCAAAAACACTGCATGTTTTATTTTGCCTGTCTTTCATTATATCTTATCTGTCGTATTCACTTACAACACTCGATTGTGTTTGTTAGTAACTTAACTTCTGAAGAAACTCTCAGACCTCTCTTGTAAAAACAAATTGTCTCTAAATGATCCTGTTTCCACGAGTTAAAAAAAAAACACTTTTGTTTTAAACAAGGTTGCAACAAAAGGAGAAAAATCTTAAACCTTGAGGAGGCTCATTGAGTTTTCAGCTTTCACAGAAACGCTGTGAGCTCCAGAAAGAGGATTTAACTGGAACTGAAATTGTTCTGACGTCCCTGTCCAAATGTCTGTCACATAAAGTCCACAAAGTTCCTGCACAGAAACTCTGACATACGTCCACCAGAAGACATAATGATGAAATTAATAATTCATCATGAATTTTTTATTTTTATTTTTTTAAATTTGTGCCATAAACCGATATACTGGCTGATGCCATCTAATTCCTTCCCAGCTATTACTTAGGATCTCCTCATCCCCGTTCTGCAGTCTCTTACCTGGAAACCCGTCCAGCAGGTGGACATTAATCATCCTCTGTGCCGTCCGGGGACAATAAAAGCAACACAGGCATCCACTTTTAATGGATTTAGCATCAAAACCTCAGACAGATTTATGTGAAACCATGTTTAAATCCTCCACTCTCCTTCACCCTCTGCAGCATCTTCTCTTATTTACTCATTTGCCCCCGGGGGTTTTTTTTTTTTTTTTTTTTTTTTTCAAAACCAGCCTAAACAGGAAATGCGGCCGTAGAAATCTCAAGTCCTTATTGCAATCAATAATGCAAACAAAGGTCAAAGCAACAGTGTCCAGAAGATGAATGTTGCAAATAAGTTTCTGTTTTTTCGCCCCCGTCCTCCTGGGTCAACATAATGATCTTCCTCTCCCTCGTGTCTCCTCCCTCCCCCTCCGCAGAGCCCCACTTCATCTCCGCCTATGACATCGGCCTCTTCACCTTCTTCTTCCTGAGGGAGAACGCGGTGGAGCACGACTGCGGCAAGACGGTGTACTCCCGCGTGGCCCGGGTGTGCAAGAACGACATCGGCGGGCGCTTCCTGCTGGAGGACACCTGGACCACGTTCATGAAGGCGCGGCTCAACTGCTCCCGGTCCGGAGAGATCCCCTTCTACTACAACGAGCTGCAGAGCACCTTCTACCTCCCCGAGCAAGACCTCATCTACGGCATCTTCACCACCAATGTGTGAGTGGATCACCATGTATGTCACACGCGTTTGTCGCATGTCTGGGTTCTTTTTTTTTCAACTGTTTTAGGGTCGTTTTGATGTGCTGAATCCAAAAATCACATTGGTTTTGCTCAGATGGGTCGACTTTCTGAACTAAGATGCTTCTGAGTTTGGGATGCTGGGATGGTGGCTGGTTACCGTTGTGCTCTGAAGAGAGAAATCCCTGCTGCTGAGCATACAGAGGCGTTCGCAGAAACGGAAGTTCATGCCCTGAATTTTGCACAATGAAGGTTTAAATGTCAATTTATAAGTACTTACCCTTATCAGTGTTTATTACTCAATTTACAGAAGTCCCAGTTTGTATCATTTAACTAATACACTCTGTTAGAAAACAATTTTTTTCTCCTAAAACCTTTTTTGGATGAGAAATGTTAACAGAGATGAACTGATGATGTCACAAAAATATAATCAGTTTAGATCGGAAGATCGGATTTCTCTAAATCAAATTAGAATAAAAACCTGATTGAGAAAAGTGGAGGTCATTTTTTGATTCAGTGGTTCAAAATCGTCCTAATTCAGTTGAAAAAGCTTAGACAACTTCAAAAAAATATATTTTTTGTAACCCAGTGTTATCAGCCAATCAAATTTTATTTGTATAGCACATTTCAGGAACAAGGCATTTCAAGCTGCTTTGCATCATAAAAACTTTACATCTTTACATCATTTAATTGAAACATTAAATTTTTCCAAGTGTCGTCATTTACACATCAAAATGTTGGTCAGTGTTTCACTTATTACGGTTTAAATGCAACTCTAAACATCTGGGCTTTGGTCTAGATTTACAGGAACTCAGTGTTTCGGCTGTTTTACAGTTTTCAGGAAGTTTGTTCCAGATTTGCGGTGCATAGAAGCTGAGTGCTGCTTCTCCTCGTTTTGTTCTGGTTCTGGGGATGCAGAGCAGAACCAGAACCAGAAGACCCAAGAGATCCAGAAGGTTGATACAGCCACGACGGATCCTTAATGTTGAGCCGTCATCACGAGCATTTTGATATTATAATTACTCTTCCATGTTGTTCTCTCTTCAGTCGTGCCTATAATTAAGGCCATGTCATCATTTAAAATGATTTAAAAATTACATTTGCTTCCTATAAAATTCATCAACTCTCTGCATATGCAGGACTAACTCTAAACGTCAGGGTCCACCCTCGTTATGTTTTGGTTCCTACCTGCACTTTAAGCTCATCGCTTCACACTGCGCACCATGCAGTGTTACTCCAGAAACTAAGATGTCTGGCAGGTTTATCACTTAGAGCTATTTATGTTTGAAAAACCAAAATGTGGCAAAAGTTTTAAGAGTGCAGTTCCACAAGGTTTTGTTCTCGGTTCTATTTTTTGTGCTTTATTTGCTTACTTCATATCTTTTAATGACATGTCGCTCTTTGGTGACATTCTGCTTCTAAGTACTTTTAAGACTGCAGTTTGGTGTCCGAGTTTGAAAAGCATCAAAGTCCCTAGGTGTCGGATCGTTTTGTTCTGTTGAATAAGGAGGTTCAGGTTCTTATGTGCGACTCTGAACTTAAAATTTAAATCATATATTGACGGTTTCTTCCCGTTTTCTTCCGTTTCCTCGTACAAATGCTTATTTATGTTTTCTTGGGGGTTTTTTTTGGTGTGAATTTGTTTTATTTTCATTTTTACTTGCCGCTCTGGACTGTGTGCAGCTTGCCCAAATTGCAGCTGTTAGGCAGACTGGATTCTACAAGTGCTCCAATCACTTCTCACCTTTTCTGTCTCTTACTTTCTGCTTGGAACAGAAATCGGACTCAGTTTGGACTTTTAAAGTACTGGACATTTTCCATCTTTTCTGGTCAGAGTTTGGTATAAACAATCAAATAGGCTTTTTTTTTTTACCTACTCAGGAAGAAGTACACCAAAATGATTGCATTCAAGTTTTTCTGCACACCTTGTACTTGTGCCCTGCTGCAGAAAGCTTTAGCCAGACAGAGCTTCCAGATGGTAGTGGTCTTCACCTCCAAACTGCAGTTTCAGTTTCAGACTTTGCTTTGCCTTCTGGTGGCAGAAGAAGAAAGAAGATATAAAATAAGAGCTGCTTAGGTGGACAGGCCCGGTGGTTTAAGTTGATAGCAGAGAGAACATGTAACATAACAACAAAATCCTGAAACAAAAACCTGTTTTCAGAAAAGTAAGGAAATGAACAGAAGTCAGGGATTGTTAGTCCATGATTTCAGCTCCGATTGTTCAATAGCAGTACTGTGAACATGAATTAAACATTTTTTTTTGTTTGTCTGTTTCACTCAAAACCTGCCACTGTTCCTAGTGCGCATACGTGGCAGCAGCTCTCATTTGTTTTCAATTTCATACGCCGATGCGTCCGTGGAGCTGTCCGCGGTCCTGAAGGAGCTGCGATTCTCCACTGTTATTAACACTCTCCCGTCTGCGCGCTCTTCAGACCGTGTTCGGACCGACGCACAGCGTAAAGTAGCTCCGCCTCTCTGGATAGAATAACAAGCGGCAATGATTTCTAGAAGTAAACCCATTTGGTTTGTAGAAGCGCCGCTGCCTGTGGCCGTCGAATATCGATTCCATAAAGATTTCCATGATAACCCGGTTGCTCCAAAATGCATCTTTTATGAAATGCGTTATTGGAAACGTGACCACATTGAGAGATGTTTCGTGTTGGCTCAGATGGGAGCATAAAGTGCCACTGAGGGGGAAAACAAAAACAAAGAACATTGAGGACGCCTGCTGCTACATCCTAATGTACGGTTAAAACTGAGTTATGCCTGAAATCCAAACTCTTAAACCGAATGGAAATTTTAGGCTCACTCAAAAATACGCATTCAGCTTTACAACAGTTTCATTAAGATTTATTATGATCTCACTGGAAGCAGAGGCACCTGTTTGTTTAAGCACACCGTGTTTAGTTTGACGCGCGCCTTTGCAGACGTGCATCTGTTTGTTTCTTTTACTGCAAACTCTAAGTGCCTGACAGGAATGCAAGCTGTGAGCCTTTTTCTGACTCTTTAAACCCATTTCAGGGCTATGGCCTGTTTTAAAGGCATTTACTGTTGCAGCTGTTTAAGAAAAGGTTTTTCTTTTTTATATATATCCTGTGAGTTTTTTGGATTGTTGTTTCTTGTGTGAAATGCCAGATGTTTCTGGTTTTGATAAAAACCTGGTCAGGAAAGCCAAGTATGCAAATATACAGTAACTATGACGTATGTAGTCACAGTCTTGCATATTATAAGCACAGCAAATGTGGTGGATTTGGTATTAAATAAGGAGTGGATCTGATTGTGCCTGATTTGTAGAAATGACCTGACATATTTAGATTTTTGTGATTTCTCTTTAAAAGCCATAGAACATAGGAACAGCATTAAAAATACTTTATTTTTCTTACCCTTTCTGGAGACTCAAAAGGGCAACTTTGTTGCCGTCTTCTATTTGACAGTCCAGTTATCTGCTGAACTGTCCTCTCTTGAAGAGCCTTGTGCGTCTTTTTGCTTCCACTAAATTAATTTTTAACACATCAGTGGTTGTAAAAAAAAAAAAGCTAACTTTGAGTCTTCTTCCTTCAGTAACAACATCCACACAGAAGAATGCTGATATCACCAACTTCGGTGCTTAGATGTAGCGCGTTATCTGTGCAGAGAGCTCATTTAGCCTAGCGGTTGTGTTTTTGGACTGAGGGGAGGAAACTGGAGTATCTGGAAATCACTGCAAGAAGACAAAACCTTACCAAGTAATTGTGGTCTAGTTTTTAGAGCAAATATCCTGGTACACTTGAAATTAGGCAAACTAGCTTAAAAATGACTGGGCTTGTTTTAAGTAAATAATTTCTTATTGTTGGTGAAAAAGTACTTGTTCTATTGGCAGAGAAATTACCTTATAACAAGGTAAAAATGTCATCAGTTACATAATCTGCCAGTGGAGCAAGTATTTTTTCATCAATATTAAAGAATTATTTACTTAAAACAAACCTCTATAAGTTACTGAAAAGTTACTTGTCTTCTTTCAAGTGTATTAAGATATTTGCTCCAGAAACTAGACCAAAAATACTTGGTAAGATTTTGTGTTTTTGCCATTAAAGGCAGAACCGTCTTGCTGCAAGGCTGCAGTGCTACCAACGGAGCAGCGCAAACATTTTTATTTTATTTTCCAAGTTTCTGAGTCAGGGCAGAGGAAACCGTCGTGCTTCATTCCAGTTATTCAGAACCAAAACAAAACTGAACTTTCAAAGGAATCTGAAAAGAGCTCCTGATTAATCAGTTCAAGCAAATTCTCGGGCATCAAGAAAATGGACACAAAAGAATGAAAACTGAACTGCGACTCGGCGCTGCCGTCGCATCAAGCTCTCCCTCCAAGGTGACTCATTACGATCGTCGCTGTTTGACATAACAAACAGTGTTGTCATGTCTTTTAACAGATTTGAGGCTCTCATGTCTGAACACACACACTCATTTCACGCACTTGCATTCTTCTGTGTGCTGGAAAGGCTTTCCTGGGAAACCAATTTAATGAGAATTTTGTAATAACAAGATGTCAGTTTGTGGGATTTAACGGCGCTACGTATCCCCAGACAGTTCATTATAGTCTGCCAGGCCTCACACTAATTATTAGTCATGTTGCTTCCTTACTTGGAGCTTCTTTCCAAATCTGTTACCTTGATTGTAAGCCCTCAGTGGGCAGTAGTTTGCTATACACTTTATTACTATTATTCATTATTTATCTTTCTCCACAGCAAGATTTGCTCGTTTCTCTCGAAGCCTACATCAATCACATAAACACGAGAAGAAGCAGCAACCGGGTAAAAAGTTAGTTTTTATCAACCTGTGAAAATAATCCTTGAGCGTTTATGAAATACCTCAAAAGAAACATAAATAATTTTTAAAATTAATGTTAAAAAAAAAACAGGAATCTCATGAGCGTCCAGGGACACTTTTAATTTAAATTAGCTGCAAACTTAATGCCCATTGTAAATTATATATTATGAAAC